CAGAAAATTATAATAAATTTAGAATGTTTCTATATATTGAAACTAATTATTGGGGGGGGCATCTTAAACTCAGACTTATCTTGGATTTAGGTTAATACAGTAGATCCCAACTAAAACATCATCTGCCTAGCCAAATGGTGACTGAACTCTGACTCCTCTGTTCCACCAGCAGGTTAAGTGAATATACTTATTGTTCCTGGTTTAAAACACATTCCGTTAAAAAAACTTCAGAGCTTTGTGTAGGCACCTTCAAGAAAAATAATTGTAAATTTATCAACAAAATGTCTTTAAAGCTTACCTCTTTTAGGGCTTTTAATAATCGAGGTCGCTTTTCTTCGACACTTTCCCTGGACTGCTGCTTAAGCTTCCTTAGAAGTGCTGTAACTATATGGAAACATACTGTCAACTAAAGGACTTGACTTAATTTATGAATTCTTTGGAGGAAAGACTGTCATTTTGCAGTTTTTCATTTATTGAAATATTTATACAAATGTTAGTCATTTTTACCAGAGAGAACAGGAGCTAGAAAATTAATTAATAGTTATGCATAACTGTAATGGAATCATATTATCAAGAAAACTGTGGTAACACTATTGTTTTATAACAAGTTTATGGCAATGGTTCTAATATTATCTTTTATCAATTAAGTTAATATTAACTATCATTGAAGCAATACCTCCGAAGTGAAATATCCCTGGTATCTGAATTACATCTAACCTCCATCTACTAAAGAGTGGCATTGGGATAATTTTTATCTTTGTTCTTTTATGTGTGAGCAGTATAACTCACTTGACACTTTCTTATGACTTATGGTCCAACTTGTAGCAGAAAACCAACAAAGATAAAACAGGGGCTAGAAATGAAGTTTATCTATACACAGAAATCTTAAGTAGAAACTGTTCTTGATATATTGAGTGTGCCACAATGGCCCATAGATTTAAAAAAAGCAGCAGATTGTAGTTGATTCACATTGCCAATCTGATTTAAGACTTACTCATTTTTACAGAATGTCAGTTTGTAGTTTTCACATTCACTTACAAATTCAATCTTAAGTCCGCTTAGTGAATGGGTTTTAAATAAAAAGTTAACTTCATTTTAAATAAAAAGTTAGCTTACTGCAACTCCGGTTCTTGTCAAAGCTAGAAAATTGATGTACTGAGCAGAAGCATTACCAACACTTGTTAACTTTTTAGCTATCACAAAATATCCAGAGCAGACACAAAAATACCATTAATAAAGTAGGTTAGCTGTAAACCCCATAAAGAAACCTTAAGAAGTAAACAAAGTAGCGGGTAACATTTTGAAAACATTCGGAAAAAAACCCTCGTTTTTCTAGTCTACATAAGTCCTCAATTTACACTACCCAAACAGTTGAATTTCTTACTCATTTGTCTGTCTCCATAGCTGATGGCTTCTGCAAGGGGGCTCCATCCCTGAGCATTTTTCACCTTTACTGGAGCATTGTGGGCCAAAAGCAAGTGGGCACATTCTGTAACAGATCAAGCAGTAATATTCATTCACTATAAACACAACTGTTCACTTCTGTTCCTTAATTCTTCTGTAAAGGTGTAATTTATACACTAAATTAAAAGAAAATAGATAGTGAAGAAAGTGTTATATATTATCATGTAGATAACCAACTGGTATATTTAACAGATTAGCAGGAAGCAACATTTGGAACTTGAATACAAATCCTACAGGAAAAATAAAGCCAAAGGCTTGATGTGGACCCCACCACACCTGAGTCTGCAAACCTATTTTAAAAATTTCAGCCGTTTTAGAACCTGAAAATTGATTCCTTTTGGTTTAGATTTCAACATATTAAAGATCATAGAAACAGATCTGATTTAATGAATACAAATCACATCTCCTGCCATCAAAATCTGAAAGTTTCATATCTTTTGCTACTGTCAGTGAAACACAGCAAGATTCTCCCTGTGTACCCAGTATGCAAGAAGCGAACAAATGAACATGGGTAAGAACTGGAACACATTTCATTACCTATAAACTGCCAGGACACAATTTTGTTCAGCACAGTTAAAAACACTGTCTCTCATATTGTGAAACTGTCTGCTATTAACTATCCCAACAAGTACCAAAATACTTTGGTTTAACAGATTTCTCCACTATATTTTTCTTTATGGAGGAGACCATTAATGTCTAAATGATGACAGAAAATTAAATTTCCCAGCTTTACACTGAGTAATACCATTCTACATGTCTTAAAGTTGACAACCTTCTCTTAAGAGGTGGGTAAAGGAGAGGGAATTGAATTTTTTTTTAAGTAGCACAAGGAAATTAAGCATCTTAAATATGTTTGTAAACTTAGCTTTGCTTCCCAAGTGATTTAAAATGAAATGAGCTTTACCACACATCTTGTTGTTTTTTTATCTCAGACACTTCAGACAAACTTAAAAGGCTGTATGTTAGATTTTTTTTTTTTTTTAAACAAATTTACAATGTCTATTCACAAGAAAGCAGCTATGAGCACATGTTCATTTCTACCAGAAGAAATTTCTTCCAGCAGAAACAGACTGGGAGCTGGACTTGACAGATGTTCCTCCAGCCCCATGTCTACAGAGCTTTACGGGCAAACTCTCCAGCCAGAGAGTGCTAGAGGGTTGCTCCCTGGGCTGCCCTTTTCCCCAGCCTGAAAAGCATCAGTTGCCACAGACAGCTCCAAGAGGGTTCCAACTCCAGAAGAATGCCCCCACATCTCACCAGTCAGATGACTGGGAGGCATTCTTCCATGGTGGAAACTCTCCTGGTTCTCTACTGCAGGAGAATAATGCCTTGTACTCCTCTGGGCTGACCCAAAGGAGTGTGGTGGGGGCAGGGATAGGAAAGGGGGTGGGGATGCCATGACAACAGCAGTGCAGGGCAAGGCAGGGGCATTTCACTGCAACGGCAAGTCTCCTGGGACTGCCCAGTCAGGGTTACAGGCCCTGTTCCCAGAGGGTGCAGGTGCCTGCTTTGAACATGCCACACAGGGAGAGCTCCAAGCAGTGGACATTTCTCAAAAATTTCCACCACGATTAGTTAATGCCTGGTCAAGGCACTGTCTCTCACCCCATTCTCATTAGGAAGCTGGGGGACTGTGGCATAGACACCCATACAGTCCAATGGGTCGCCAACTGGTTAGAGAGTCGCACCCAGAGGGTGGTAGTGGATGGGTCCTTCTCGACCTGGAAGGACGTGGGAAGTGGGGTCCCACAGGGCTCGGTCCTTGGGCC